AGAACCAGGGATTGAACTCAGGCCCTTGTGCTTGCCAGGGAAGCGCTTATTCTACTGAGCCATCTCCCCAGTGATGCTATACTTTAACGGTCTTCTGCAGTTTGCCTTTTTTCCACCCTACATATGTGCTTTTCATTTTGCTGGCATATAATGTTTTGTTGTGTGGCCATGTCTCATTGTATTTGCCTGTCATCCTGTCTCTAGTCATTTGTGTTGTTTCCGTACTTTTTGCCATTTATGCTGTGAATATTCCTGGTCACCACCCTTGACATGCTGTGAAGTTTTTTCTGCTATGTATGTTGGAGCGGAATTGCTGAGTTCTAAGGTATATCAATGTTCGGCTTCACAAAGTACTGTTCACTTTTTTTCCAAAGTGACTGTACTAATTTAGAATCATAGTACCCAACGCTAAGGTACTATGTGGCTCGGTTACTGATACAGTGTTAGGTTTGCTATCATGAATGCTGTGCTCTGAAAGTTACATGATTCCTCTAGTGAAGCCCTGACTGATACAGCACAACAGAGTAACTAGTCAGTGAGAAAGAATGACTCTGAATCAGTTGTAGGAAAGTGGATGCACCTAGTGAGACCATAATGTTAAGTAAATCAAACATACTATACAGATTGTCTTGAGAAACCCAAAGTATAATTTAAGGAGAAAAAAAAAAATCTAGGTACTATGAAACAATGTGAGGTCTACTCCAAATGGGGTAAGAAACCAGAGATGGAGGGGGAGGGCAAAGGGAATTAAAAAGAATTAAGATGTATTCTATGTATATATATACCAAACTGCCATAATGAATACAGACATTATACACCGCAAACATGAAAGGAATTGAAGCAGTATCATGTGATACTGCTTGAGATGAACTGGTACATAGTCAAATGCAAAATTCATGTTGTGCTTAATGTATTGCGCTATCTCCCTGGCCCTCTTTTTTGTATGTTCTGGGAGGCAGTAATCCATCTCTTGCTCTTCTGTGTAACACTAATTCTGTTTATTACTCATTCCTTTTTCTAGTGGCCTTCCATGCTATCTCTGTCATGTATCAAGTTTATTTTTATTTTTATTTTTTTATGTATTTAGTAGAGGGTCTATAGGGTCTCACTATATAGATTGCACTCATAGTGCTCCTCCTGTTCTCAGCCTCCCAAGTGCTGGGATTACACGTGCATGCCACCATACCCAGTCTCAATCTCCATCTCAGCGCGCCCCGGGGGCAGGGCTGGCACAGCACGCAGTGGCTTGAACCCTGGCCACTGTGCTCTGCCTGAGCAGGCACTTTAGTCTGCTGAGCTATCTGGCCCACCCCACACATCAAGTTTAAATAGAAGCATCTTTTTGTGGCTTTATTTTCTTTTAATAGTTGATTTTTTCCAGCTATGATACAATATCACCTTGTCTTAATTAATAAAATGGTAAAGTCTTTGTGCTTGGCAAAGCTACCCCACTTTCCTTATGCCTTTTGGGGAGGGGGGCGTATTGTCTAAAACTATAGATAATGTAAAATATGGCCACTATTAATTAATCTTTGGTTTATTTATTTATTTATTTATTTTAGGGACTAGCAATCTAACTCAGGATCCTGTGCTTGCCAGGCAGGCCCTGTGCTGCTGGGCTATATCCCCAGCCCAATATGACCATTTTAACCACTTGCAAATGTACAGTTCAAGTCATTAAGTATATTCATAATTCTGTATAATTATCACCAGAATGTGTTTCTAGAACTTTCTATTGCCCTTAAAGCCTAAGCCTATTTCTTATTTTACCCATTAGTTCTGTTTCTCTATCTGGCCAGTTCCTGGTAACTTCTCATTTTCTTTTTTTTTATATTTTATGATTTTTTTCTTTTAATTTTTTAAAAATTTTATTTATTTATTTGTGTGTGTGTGTGGCCAGCTCAGCCCGCCTGGGGGCGGGGCTGGGTGGCTTGTGGTGCTGGGGGATTGAACCGCGGTCCCTGTGCTTTGCTAAGCTTGTTCTAAGTAGGTGCTTTAGACCACTGAGCCATCTCACCAGCCCTCATTTTCTTGATACCTCTATGCATTTGCGCATTCTAGATATTTCAAATAAGTGGAATCTTGCAATAGCTGTTCTTTTGTATTGGCTTATTCCATCTAGGGAACATCCTCAAAACAAAGCTAGAGGAAGGAAGCGGCATACAATGGTTGTCTGTTGGGTACAAAGCTCTGGATTCAATCCCCAGCAACACACACAGACACACAGAGACACACCCCAAAGCTGGGGTAGCTATATTAATTTCAGACAAAGCAGAGTTCAGATCAAGGAAGATTCTGGAGGATAAAGAGACACTGTAGTGATAATGTAATGATCCAAATATACGAATTAGAAGACAAAGGCTTGCCATGGCTTGAGATGAAACAACTAATAACCAATGATATGTTACTATGTTAGGTATAAAGATACAAGATTCACTCATATGATAGAACGTATCATTTTTTGGCTGAATAATAGCCCGTTGTATAGCTAGGCTACAGTGTCGATGGCCACTTGATTGTTTAAACTATTGTGAGTAGTGCTACTGTGAGCACTAGTGTGCAAGTGTAGGATTTGTCCCTCTTTAGAGTCTTCTGGGTATAGACCAAGAACGAAACTGTTAAACTCATTGTGATTCTATGTTTAGCTTTTAAAAAGTCACTCCACTTTCCCATAGGGGCTTTTGCATTTATATTCCTCTAAGCAGTGCATGAGGTTCCAATTTCTCTATATTTTTACCAAAAAAAGTATAATTGATTATGATAAGAGAAAAAATGGAACCATATAAAATATTAAATTAAAACCAGATGGGACAGAAAGAAATAGAGTACAAATGGAAAAAAAAAAAACCCAAGGGTGATGAGTGGAAATTTTTACAAATATTGTAGCTATTAGCCCAACTGTATCAATAATCAGTTTACATGTTTACAGAATGATCTAAATATTCAAATTAAAAGACAAAGGCTTGCGGTGGCTTGTGATGAAACAACTAATATCCAATGATATGCTACTGTGTTAAATATAAAGACAGGGGTAGTGTCGCACGCAGCCTTGCCAGCAAGGAAGACGTGACCACTGGTTGTGTCTGCGCAGCCTTTTATTGCCCTGTTACATTTCTCTTCTCTTCCCCCGAGGCCCCTGCTCTTAGCTTATAAGTCTCAGGGCTTCCAATCATGGAGTGCCACATGTGTACTGTCCATTGGTCCAGGTATGCGGAAGCAATGCATTAGCCCAAGCCTTGGCCTTATATGGAGTTGTTTATTACTAGGAGCGCTCACCCCCTGAGAGGGTGGAAGGCGGAAACTGGCGCCATCCTAGGGCGCGGCTACACGCAGCTCCCTACAAAGTAGATTCAAAATAGAGGAATGAAGAACAATACAATAATCAAAATAAAGCTAGAGGAAGCTGGAGACATGGCTCAGCCATAGAACGTTGTCTATTGGGTGTAAAACTCTGGGCTCAATCTCAGCAACACACAGACACACACAAACACGCAGACATACCCCAAAGCTGGAGTAGCCATATTAATTTCAGACAAAGCAGACTTTAGATCAAGGAAGATTCTTGAGGATAAGGAGACACTGAAATGATAAAAGGGTCCGTTCTCCAAAAAGATACAATAATTTTAATATGTACGTATCTGACAACAGAGCATCAAAATATGTAAGGTAAAAACTGATAGAACTGGGGGAAGAAGTAGAAAAATACAGTATTATAGTTGGTGACATCAATACCCCTCTCTCAGTAATTGATAGATCCAGGAGGCAGAAAATTAGTATGGGCATAATTGAACTAACTGGACCCTTAAGTTAACTGTATGTAATTAACATTTATAGACTGCTTCCAGTCGCAGAAGAGTAGGTGTTCTCAAATTCAATGAAAAATTCACCAAAAGAGAACATTCGGACCCATAAAAATATTTTTTTTTTCATTTAAGAAAAAACATTTATTTCGGGGCTGGTGAGATGGCTCAGTGGTCTAAAGCACCTACTTAAAACAAGCTCAGCAAAGCACAGGGACCACGGTTCAATCCCCCAGCACCACATGCCAGCCAGCCCCGCCCCCTGGTGGGCTGAGCTGGCCACACACACACACACACACACACACACACACACACACACATTAAAAAAATAATAATAATTAAAAAAAAAGAAAAAACATTTATTTCAAAATGCCGAGTGGAAAGGCAGAAACTATCTTCTGGTTTACTGATAAAATATTGAAAACTTCAATTTGCGAGCAGAAATTTGCACTCTGTTCCTAAGCTTCTAAAAACAAGGATTAAACGGCTGTTCCTCTTTCCAAATTCTGCTTAATTTCAGCTGTATATTTCCCATAGAACCTTTCAGCTTTCTTGTTGAACTTGGCGTTTCTTTCATTGATGTAGTCAATGTCTGCATCGTCATTATAAGGACATCTTCGGCTATATTTGTCTCGTTTTTCAATTTGTTTTTCCAGATCTACGACCATTCTATCAATTTCCTCTGTGGAAGGCACATGTGTCCCATGAAGAAGACTGTTGGATGTTGGGAAAAACTCTTCTCCATGTTTTTCCCTGAGTCTCTCATATGTTTCCATGTCTGGTTTGATTTGCTTGGTCAGCCGGTGATACTGACGGAGCTGGGCAGCAGCATAGTCTGAAAAGCCAAGATCAGGGTTTTTCCTCTTCTTCTTCCTCTCCCATCTCTCTGCATCTTCTGCACTGATCTCCAGCAACTTCACTTTCTCATAGTCTTCGCCTCGGGCAGCACATTCCTTTTTCTTTTCTTCTTCCTGTAGTTCCCATTCCAAACGAGCTTTTTTGGCTTCCCAATTTGCAGGTAACTTAAGTCTTTTATCTTCTTCCACAACCTCCTGGTGATTTAATTTACAAGCTTCATTCCGCTTCAGATGCAGCTCTCGGAATTTTCGAAGTCTCTGTGCGCGCTTCTGAGCCGCCAGTTCCTCCGCCGACGTGCAGGACCCGTCCTCTGCGATGTCCACCGCAGCCGTCTCGAGTTCAGTCGCATCCGCCATTACACCCCCCTCCCTACTTCCGGACCCATAAAAATATTACATAGTATATTTGTGCTACAAGCGAATGAAACTAGAAATTGATAACAAAGATAGCCAGAAATTTCCCAGATATTTAGAGTTAAAAACATCTTTCTGAACAACACATGCATCCAAGAGGAACTCTCAAGAGACTTCTACAAATATTTTGAGTTAAATGAAATTGAAGCGTCAAAATTTGTGGCAGAAATAAGAAAATGAGAGTTTAGAGGAAAATTTATAACACTGAATACATACATTAGAAAAGACAGAAGACTTTACCTGGTGTGATGGCACATGTAGTCCCAGAAAATTGTGTGCCTGAGGCAGGAAGATCACTAGTTCCAGACTAACTCGGAAAACATACTGAGACCCTATTTCAAAATAAATTTTAAAATGATTAGAGATTTAACTCAATGATAGAGCACTTGCCTACCATGCACAAGGCTCTGAGTTCGATCACCAGTACCACAAAAATAAACGATCTAAAATTAGTTATCCAGCACTAATATTCTACCTAGGGAAAATAGAAAAAGATGAGCATATGAAATTCAAAGTGATCAGAAGAAAGGAAATAATAAACAAAAATCAGGAATCAGTGATATTGAAAACAAGAAAAATTGATAAATAGCTAGCTAATTAACCAAGAAAAACAAGATAAGACATCAATAATGAGAGGAACCATTATCACTGATGGTTTTGCCCATTCAAAAAATAATTGTACATCTGTATATCTACAAATTTGGTAATGTTAATGAATAGACCTATTCCTTGAGATACACAATCTTCAAAAAATCACACAAACAGCAAATAGACCTTAATCTATCAAAGAAATACTCATTTATAGTTGTCTATACATCTTTTACCCTTCCTGTTCTTCTCATTATTACCTAAGTATCTTCACTTCTATTTGGTGTACTTTTCCTTCTGCCTAACATACTCTACTAGAGGTATGTGCATGCATAATTTATGTATGTAATATGCTTGTAAACAATTTTGTGAACTTTAAAAAGTGGTCCTCCAAATCTCATGGGTTTGAAAGGTGATTGGATGGGGGGTGCTACACTCATCAGTGGATTAATCCATTGATGAGTGTAGGCGCTGAAGGTACTGTTTCAAGGTAGGGCCTGGCGAGAGGAGGGTCTGGAGCAGCCATTGCCCTCAGCCTCTGAACAGTCTCTTCCCTGGTCTTTCCAGGAGTTGTCAGCTTCAGGAAATTCTGTCGAGGTTGACTGTCATGCAGTAATTGACAAGGAATACAAATGCACAAGTTTTGTGGTAGGGCATGATTCTGACCCAGCTGAATGGTCTACTCAAAGTGTAAGGCCACATATGAGACAGTCTAGTTACTTCCATTATCGCTCATTCCCTTGTCCCTTGTCACACAGACACAGCAGCCACTGTCTAACAGTTCTGTAGTGTACTGATTAAAGCAGCCCTAGATTTCCCTTGGCTCCCTCTTGCCACATTCTGTATACTACTCTGGATTGGAGACATTGGTACCTTCCAGGAATAGTTCTAATGTGGTTGTTAATGTAGGGTACTAGAGTGTTTCCTTCCCTATGAAAGTCTAGGAAACTTTCTTAGTTTCCTATCTTACAGAAGAATAAACAATGGCCATGGCATCATTTAGGAAACTTAATGTCTGTCATACAACTACAACTCAGCCTCAACCTGTTGGCTGGATTCACCTATGGGAACAGGACAGTGGGCATGCCTTCTTGCCTTCACCTAGCAACTGAATGAGAACATTTGCTCCTGTTTTCCAAAGAGTTTCATTGTGTCCTTGAAATTGGAGCACAGGATTCTTGCCTTTTCTTCTTTTAAGCCATTGTCTGTCTTGGATCCTGCTCATGATTTCAGATTTTGTCAGGGAAGAGCTTCACCCAGGCCATAACTTTGCAGATACTCAAAATAGATAACAAGACTCAATGGAATCAAGAAAGTTGATTGCTTGCAATGCAGCAAACAGCAGAAGTACAAGCATGATAATACTGGTCTCTCTGCCTTCCAGTCATTTGAGGCAACACGATAAATCCACACAGTGGTCATCTATGTGATGGGTTGTGCTTGCCATTGAAACATCCAAGGTCAGAGTTCAGCATCTTGCACAGTTATAGAGAGCCTTTCGAGGTCCTCATTGTGGCCCAGGAAAATTATATTTGTAATCTCAAGTAAAAGTTATTGGCATTCTAGTGAGTTAATTCCAATCTACCACTTCCAGTGCAATGCAAGGCAAGAATAAAGACACTAAGGCACATTTGTAGTTATGGGGAGCAAAAGTGTCCTTAGTCCAGCTAGGATAATGGCTAACTGGTACAAAGGCCTCGACCCAGGACCAAACCCAGATTTCATTCATTCATGAAGAAGAGAGTGGTTTGAGGATAAGCACCTGTGAGAATGGTGGGAAAGAGGCAAGTGCTGTGAGCTGGGCTAGGTAGGAGCCTGGACATCACCTCTGCAGTGTTCAGAGAGAAGACTATGCTCAAAGAGCAACCTGCATAGCAAAACTGAGATAGGATCTAATGTTTTGGGGTCAGTGCTTCAGCTCTGATGTGTGATCTTTCAAGCCCCAGGAAGTCTTAGCCTCCATCTCAAGGCTTATCAATGGAAACCAACAATGTGGAGCATAGGCATCCCGCTTGGCCCAGCTCACACAAGGTAACAGAGAGGGTGTGTCCGGGGAAACACTGCCTGCCATTTTGAAAGACTACCATCAGCACCTAGGCTGAACTGATACGTATTGTTTAAAGTCAATTGAAGAGATAAGGAAAAGTCCTAGCCAGCTCTGTGCATATCAGTACATGGAAATAGGGTCTGTGTAATAGATTTCTAACTGGTGTGCAACTTATTACACCCAGCTGAATTAAACTAGTGTGGTGAGGGGTGTGGGAGGCCCACCTGAGGATTGTTGTCAGCAGCATAAAGGCAGAAGGTGTCAGGAATGCTTTTAGGGATGCTGTCCCTAGAAGCTGTTGGAGCTGTTGGGAGCTGCTAGTTCTCTTGGGCTGTTCCACTGGAGGACCTTGTCATGCCGGCTTTCCTGATGAACTCTAGAGGAGCTCTGGACCTCATCTTGAGCATGGCTTCCTGGCTCAGGGGGTGGGTTGGGGAAGATGTTGCACTGCTCAGCCTCATGGAAGAGTTTGTCACATTGGCTCTTCTGATGAGAACTCAGCTTTCCTCATCGCTGGAGGAGCTCGGGACCCTACTGTTGCTGAGGATGTGGTACTTCGTGGGGAGCTCTGGTTCTTACCTTGAGCATTGCTTCCTATTCCAGTTCAGATCCCTCAGCTTGCTAGCACAGATCCTTCATCCCATTGGCATAGACTTCCTAGTTTCCAGCACTGACCTTTGGGCCTTTCTGGCACATATCTGTGAAGTAAGACCCAGGCCTTCAGGTAGATTCTTTAGTATTTAGTGTGTGGACAGATTTCCTGCACTTGCTGTGTATGATTCTTGGGTGATTCATTATAAAATACTATTGTAAAATGTGTCCTGTATTATATTGTTCTCCTTCCAAAAAAACTCCAAACCACAACTGTCAGGTTCAGCTGAAATGGAGACACTTGCTCCTCCTTTGAGGAGATTTGCCCAGGTGGCCTACACACAGTGAGCAATAAGCAAGCCAGCTCTTTCTCCCAGGAAGAGACAAGTCACACAGTAGCTGTGCTATGGTCATGTGACCTATTTCATTTCCTTTGCAACCGGCTACAGAAAATGATTAAGCCTTGTAGTTTGGAACATAGAGCAAGGTTATGTGGAGATACTCAGGAACCACGGCAGGCTGCTCTGCCTAATGCTTTGCTTGCCTGTAAATAGCTTTATTTTATTTTATTTTATTTTTTTTCCAAAGTTTTATTGATAAACAGCAATGAGACAGTTTCAAATCAAATTGGAAGTACAGTTTCAACAAATAATACACTGCATATATTCTTCTTAGTGGTTAATTGTTGTACAAGATGCGGACTTGTGATCCTATTTACAAACACCATTAGAACAAATCATTCTATTCAATAAGAGAATGCAACTATATATCTATCCCAACCTCTTTGAATACACAGATACAAAATGGACATTCATCGGTATACCGCTTTATTTTAGTTTGGTTTGGTTTTTTAGTTTTTTGAGACAGGTCTTGCCATGTAGTTCAGGAAGGCCTCGAACTCACTATTCAGCCCAGGCAGGCCTTGAGCTCACTATGCAGCCCAGGCTGGCCTTGAGCTCATGGCAATCCTTTTGCCTCAGCTTCCTGAGTAATGGGATGACAGGTGTGTGTCACCATACCCAGCTCCACTTTAATTTTTTTTTTCTTTTCAAAGTTTTATTGATAAACATATAGCAATGAAACAGTTTCAAATCAAATCGAAAGTACAGTTTCAACAAATAATACACTGCATATATTCTTCTTAGTGGTTAATTGCTGTACAAGATGCAGACTTGTGATCCTACTTACAAACACCATTAGAAAAAATCATTCTATTCATTAAGAGAATGCAACTATATATCTATCCCAACTACTTTGAATACACAGATCCACTTTAATTTTGAAGATTGTTTTTAGTCAGTACAGCATTGTGCAGTGGCAGTTATTTTCTTTTAGACTTTAAAAATGTTATTTCAGGATCTCATAGCTTTCATTGTTTTGTTTGAAAATCCATCCATCTTTCAGAAGTTCCTGTCTGTCCAGGGAAAGCCCAAATTCCCTGCCTCTTGCTCCACAGATATGCAGCTACTTTTCACGCACTCAGAGGTAGCAGATATGGGGTGGTGTTGGTTTCTGCAGCAGGTCTGTTTTATTTTCCATGGTTCTGCGTCTGTGGAATCCTAGTCCTTTGGTTCTTGTTTCTAAACTTTTGCCTTTCAGATGTAGGGATTCTTTTGACTTCTTATTATTGCTAATCCAAGGCTGATTCCCTGTATCTGGATTTTAGCTTTGTCCATTCCTTTGTTAACAATCTTTTATTAAACTTTCTTCAGTAACTCTCTTTGATTATATCA